GCTACTTTACATGTTTTAAAAATACAATAAAGGTACATTCATATTCTTTTGCTCTAGAAAATTACAGATTCAATGAGATAATAATTTTACCCTCTTATTTCAAAACTATTTCCAACTAAAGATGACAAATCAGAGGAAGGAAATGTCGCAAAAAGTGCTGGGATAGTAGTATCTTCTAGGCTCATTTGTTTTACTTTTTAAGATCAGCCATATGGAAAGTCATATGGACAAGGTTTGTTCCTTCTGAGAAGGTAAGATGCTTTAAGGGCTCTGAAGAAAGAGGAACTTTTTTTAGTACCACTGTTCTCTGGGAGCCACCCTCCTGGACTAGGATTAGTTCTCACTATTCTGCTTTCCTTCACTTACCCAGTAAGTACCCAGCAGTCACTTACTGAACTTCTCAAACACAACAAAAGCAACCCACATGACAGCTCAAAAACTTGATACTTGAAAGCCCTAGTACTCCTCCAGAAGCATGCAGCCTACACTCAATCCAACATGGAGAAATAGTCCTGGATACCTCCTGCCTCTGACAAGAAACCTCCTGAGCTACAGAAAACAGCACTGAGTCATGGCTGAAATATTTTAAAAATTACTAACCATTTTTTAAAGGTACAATACCCACAAGAGATTCTTTTTAGCACCAGTGCAGAAGCGAACAATGAAGACTGCCTGACATCTCATGTGAGACAACAGACTAAAGAAGCAAAAAAAGCCTTGTGCCTTTTTTCCATCATTCCTTTACACCATATTCAGAACCTCACCATGCACAGCAGGGGCCAAAATCCTCACCTCTAATCCAGGAACATTCATCAGTCACAGATCTCTGAGTTCCTTCAGTTCATCAAGGGAGTAATTAAATTAGTTCCCTCAAAACAAATACATTTCATGTCACTCAACACCCTCCAAAACTATTACTCAAATGTCAAACTTGCCACTCTTGCTGACAAAATAGTGGTGTGCAACATCACCATATTCATGCACAATAAAGCAGTGGTTGAGCTGGACTGGTGTTAAAAGGGGTGTGGCAGAAGAACCAGTACTATTCTGCGTCCATTCAATTTATTTCTTAACACAGAAATATTTTAATGTAAGTGTGAGAGATGGGAACAAGGAAATTTCTGCTAAATGAACGCTAACAAAGTGGGAACAAACTAGAGAGGAACTTCTGTAGTTAGTTATGAGAGAACTTTGAATTTATCAAATGATATTCTGGGTCAGTAACTAACTTAAAAACCAGGAAAACACCCCAGCCAATAGCCAAAAGGCACTGGAAGTTCCTCAGTCAGATGGAAGCCAAGATGTAGACACATAGGTAAAGTGTTAAAATCATCAAGTCATTGTTGAGGTTAAACACATGGAAGAGGCATGAATGAAATAACAAGAAATGAAAAAGTAACTTGCATTGCTACAGATAAAGGATCTGACTTCTTTTTTATTCAACAGAAGAGTAAATTAATACTTTGAAACCTGGCTTAAACCGGCCATGCCCATCACTGTTGACTCAAGGGCATCACACGTCAACCTGTATCAAAACAAACAGGCTAACAGCTTCCACAACGAAAACAGTACCTGTGTTTAGTTCACGGGAGAGAAAAAAAAACCCCAAACCCAAACCCAAAAAGACCCCTCCAAGGAAGAAAGGAGTGTGGATATCCACTTCTCACTTACGCTAAGTGAGGCTGGTCATCTTAATTTGTGCATATTTTTTGTATCTCCCAAAAGACACAGCTTTGCCCCATTGTTCTGCAGTTTAACTGAAAAGGTGTCAGATCTCATAAAGAGAAGTTCATGGAGGTTGTCAGAGAGGAGAAGCAGAACGCATCACCTACAGGATCCCCGTGCCACTACATTTCAGGTAGTTTCCTGCACCTTAGGGAAAATGCAGAACAGGTACAAGGGAAAACAGTCTTCCTCGACAACTGATGTATAAATGATCTTTTGGATTCCACTATAGTATGTTACCCTAAATAGGTTTTTAAGCCTAGACAGCTCTTGACATTTTTCTTTCCATTTTCTCCTTTAAACCCTCCTTTACATTCTGCTTTAACTTGCAGTCTTCTTCAGAGCATTTGCTCTCTACAAGGGCAAAATCTGACTCGAAATACATTATTTTAACAAAAAAATTACAGCATATAGAATAATCTTAGAGTACATGGTAATCAAAACTATATAAATCCGTAAAAATATAGCAGGAAAAAGAAAACTTAGACTCTGGTTAAAAGCACTTGTTCCTTTTCTAAGTGTGATGTTACGGGTGTACTGCATTACTCACAGCAGTAGCATATACCAGGATAATGATCATTTAAGGATCAAGACTGTAAATCCTTGAATTTATAACATTGAGTTTTTACAAGCTAGCTTAGTAACCTCCTCTTGAACTATGAATATCTTTAAAATATGACATACATTTGTATTGCCTAAGGTCTATTCCCATGCAATATAAATGCTCAAACATCAGTGGTAATGAACAGAATGACCTCTAATCAGCAGAATTTGTTCTGCTCTTGGGATGCTACATAAATCAGTTACCAAGGAGTTGCCAAAGTCTTACTACGTGCTTCAAAGCTCTGCCTAGATGGAAGCAACAGAGTTAAATTTAGGTCATTTTTGGATACCAGTGTCCAAATTCAAATACTATGTAGCCATGTGATATTCACCCCCCAAACAAGTGGGTTTATTACTGGCTTTCATAAAATATACTTCCAGACTCTAATGTTATTTTACACAAGATGTAAAATACCTCTCTGTCTTTCCAAATACCACCAAAATAGTATGGATAAATCAAGGTATTTTCAAATCAACCTATATTACTTCACTCGTGAGAAATCTTGCATGAAATTTTCTCTTCATGCTGAAGATGCACTGTACCTATAAGGATGTTATTTGTAAATACCAGCTTCCACCTAAGGTGGATGAATTTCTCCGCTTTCCTATAACTGAGCAATGTCTAGCCTGTCAACCTTCCTTTTTTGTCTTCCCAAGGAGCAACGTCCCTGCCAGTTCTGACAGCTTGAGCAGCTACTGCCCCGTCTCCCTTACTTGGCTGGGTCTGTTTTCCAAACCAGGTCATGGCAGGTCGGTACAACTGGAGGATGGGAGGGGAGAAATGCCGTCAGACTAAGGTCCACGGCAAACGTCGGATCTGAATGACGGCGTGCAGGAGGTGTCGCTCCTTCTCGGCTGCGCGCAGAGGGAGCCCAGGGAGATTTGTTTCCCTGGATTCACCGTAGCCACCGACGTCCGGCTGCATCACAGCTATGAAAACGGCAGGCCGCTACATGACCTCAACTACAGCAATAACCAGGCAAAGAAACATTCTGTGAATCTTTCGCTGCTCTCTGTGGATAAATCTTAATTAGCTGGTTACGTGCAGTGGAGATGCTGAATTTACTTTATTGTCAGCATTCACACTTGGTAATATTGCAAGAAATTCTTCTGCTGTGACCTTGAATCTTTACATCTCGTTATGTTGACAAGGTGACAGATTCCTACTCTCCACATACATCATTAGTCTTTAAATAAAAGATGCACATTGCACAATTTCCTTCCTTTCATAAAGTAAAAGGTTTTACTTTTCACATGTGAGAATTAATACAGTAGAACAGCTTGAAAATTCAGTTATTGATAAGTGCTCTCAGCAACATGAATGATCAGAATACACTGGTGAAAATTCCACTAACTTTGTATCTCCGAATGGATCTAAATGAATATTGAAATACATTCAAGATACATACACAGGAAAAAAATCCAGGAACAACTAAAGTTGAAGCAACCTTTTCAGAATACAGGAAGAGCTTAAAAGGAAATACCATATACATAAATTAGAATATTTTTTAAGGAGAGATTTAACCTAATTACTTAATTCTTTTAGAGTGAAACAATTTCACAGAGCCAGCATTACTCTCAGGATAAAGGGCAAATCATGTACCAGTACCATACAACTCACAGTACTAAAAACATGGTCTTTACCATTAAAATAATGCACGTGTAAAGTACGCAGTTTTGTCCATTGCTAAGAAACTAACAAATGTACTTAGACACTTTGAAGAAATGATTTAACGTGTATGTACATTAACTTGAGAATAATTTAAAGCAATGATTTTAGCCTCTTTCACTTTCTCACAAAAAGATTATTGAAAATTGAATTTCAAACAATGTTTAGTAATTTCTAAAATATGCTGTCCTGGCAAGCGAACAAGGTTTCCAGTTACATTCCTACTGTTTGAATTCAATGTAATTAATTATCTTTTGATTTTTCACATGCATAGGCTTTTTGTACTTTCAATTCTGAATTGCTTGATATTGCAAGTATCCTTTTGAAAATAAGTTTTCCAATATATGTAAAACCTACTTGCTTTCCTATCAGGAAACAGGAAACAGAAACACATTGCATTGGTAGCCTTCACAGATCAAAGTGAGTGAATAAAATTATTTAAAACACAGCTACTCGCAGAGGTTATTAAGACTGTGGCTTTTTATCTGAAGAGATTGGGAGGAAGAGAACACCTTGCAGAGCTCCCCCTCCCCTTTCCAGTAGGGCAGGCAAAAGATATCTTTCTAATTTACCTAGGGAAAAATCGAATTACTGCTTCCTATAAAATCAGAACAGGAATATTTTTCTTTAGGTCTGCGCTTCCATTAATTACATGCTAACCTGCATTCTTAGGGTGGTGAAAGAAAAGAGAAAAAGCGTTGGAAGTATTATTTCCCATAGCAACAATTGCCTGTCAAACAAAGCATAAAAAGACAAAAGGCAGAAACACTGTTTCAGCTTGAATGCTTTAATGTCACCATTTGTCATGCAGCACTTCCTCAGAAAACCCTGAAGTACAGTTAACTCTGCTCCTCTTTACACCGCACCCTTGCTCTGTTGGTACAGGATGAAAATGTGCAGGGCCTGACAATGAAACAGCAGAGCCATCGCACATTGTTATGCAACTCCCTGTCTGCAAGGGTGGCTCGTAGCTCCTTCTTTATTCAGCAAGTGCCAAGTGCATGTTTAATCAATGTCACAGCTCACCACAGTGTGCAACTAAAGCCACCGTCATTCCTCTCTCCAGATCTGCCTGGCTAAGTTATGCAATGCTCCGAAGAATACCTTGGAATTCTTTCCGGAGGCTCTGAATGCAGGTGTGTGCCGGCGTTCACACCACTGCCAGGAAAGCAGACTTCTTTTCATCCTTTTTCAGGCTGGACTAAAATTACAGAGTGTGACTGCCCGTCGGTTGCTGCATTTGGAATTACAGCATGTCAACGTGAGAAAGTCTCTTCAGACGGCTGACACAAAGAGTAAATCAAAGGCTGGCTTTTTCTGAAGTCTTAATAAATAACTAAGCGTAACCAAACAAAACCAGGAGTGTTTTGTATTTTTTTTTCTTTGAAATACAAAACCGAGCAGCATGCATTTTGCTGCTCTGCATCATCTAAGAGAAAAATCCTCGATTTTAATGAAAATTCGTCAACAGTGAGGGTAACTACCAGCAAGGGTTTTACTGTTTTTTGACTACGCTTGCTTTAGTGGATTACTGCGAGAGAAGGCCGGTCATTCGGAAGATTCTGTAACATTATTATCCTCACAGATAAACTTCATCAAGGAACTGTTCATGCTCCTATCTGGTCTGTCTGAGTGAGGAGAGCAGCCCCTTCATGAAGATAAAAGCCTGGTTTGCCACTGAAGCGACTAGTAAGAAGCATGTCTGATGACATTTTATTCCTGCTGCAATGTAGGGTAAGAAATATCTTCTTTTTTTGTTGTGTTTTTTTTTTTACCTTTCTGTGAGATATATTCTGAGCCAAGGGCTTTAATTAGACTCACAGCAGAAATACATTTATCTCCAATGATTAAAGATGTTTGCCAGGAGAGAAAAATGCTACTGCACTATAAAACGTGACTGCAAATCTCCAGTAAATTGGGGTTATCTGAACTAGTAGAAATCCCAGTCAAATTCTGGTTTAAGGTTAGAAATGTCTGATCAATCAGGTTAAAAAAATCATAGCAGATTACACATAATATCAACATCTCTGCCACTAATAAACGTAATTTTACAGGGAATATGTTACTAGAGGATATCTGACTGTAAATTAAGAGTACAAGAGCAGTTGAGTAACAGAGATGATCTGTCAACCTCACTTTTGCAACAAAAAAGGTAATAAATCATATACGCATCTGTAAATATCTCTCTGTAATCCTCATAATAACAAAATTTTGTGAGATATAAAAGTACTACTGCTCATTGTCATACTGCAATAAGGAGCATACATAACAGTAACAACCACCTTTATACTAGAAGAGACAGACATTTTCTGTTAAGAGCTTACTGTTGCACAGATGCCCAAAAGCTGATCTATTAAAAACAAGTAAAATGATAAGATCTCACCTGCAGTAGCCTATGTAGGGCTCCCTGGTCAAAGAAGACTGTGCTACCGTATTAAGAAGGCATATTTCCCATGTTTGAAAACAGTAGACATGAACATTTTCAACTGGTTTTGTACTGTGACAGTTAAATATTTAACAACAGCTGAAAATTCACATCATCTCCTGGAGCATTTTGGAGCATTTGACAATGCTCATATACCCGCTTTCATCAATCTGATGTTTCATATGGAAACAAACTGGCTGGCTAAAGATGAATTTTACATTTCTTTTATTAGGAAGCATACTAATTGGCTTGAAGCATCAAGCTCCTTCTCACTCCTATCAAATCTGTATCTACACTATCTACACAATTACTTTTAACATGGACATGCTGATAGAAAAACAAAACAAAAGACGAATATAACTCAATAAACACAGCATTAAGAAATATTGTGTAAAGAAGTACAGAATTGTTTCTAAAAAAAGCTTGCATGTTTGTCAGAGCAGATTTACCATTTGCTTTCTTTCTTCTAGCTAGCTGCCAGAATACTAGTGAAGGTATTTGCAGGAAAAATGGGGACCTCTGCCATCACAACACTGGAAGATGTAAAAAGGCAAGAGGAGAAAGAGGAGAAAGAAGAATCTGTTTTAGCACTGCTTGGAATTATTGGAACTGTGCTCAATTTATTTGTTATTGTTTTTGTGTATATCTACACTACACTTTGATGACATTTTTGAACATCAATTGCACAGCACACAATGCAAAGACCAGCGTTGGTTAAGAATGGTTTCTAAATTTAAAGCAAAAAAACCCCACTGTCTGAAAAGATTGTCAGAAACATTCCAGAGCAAAGCGTCTGGCTAAGGGCGCTGCATCAATGACTGCTAAATGTATCTGTGAGCCCAGCTAGGGTGCTGAATTACATAAATGAAGGCAGACAATATGCAACTTCTCATTGGTAACAGATGAAATCCTAATAGCAGAAACAGAGATTGCACTGTTTTATTGCCAGCAAACATGCAAGACACAAGCAATGTAAGCAAATACTGAAAACAATCAGAACATCGAAAGAGATTAATTAAATCCATAAATGCATCTAAGCAGGCCCTGTGATGCTGTCTATGGTTTTGTGCAATATGTCTCTTCATAGCTGAGATCAGAAAACAGACAAAAGGGTTTTATTTTGAGATCACCGTAATTTAGGCTTATAACTTACACTAGTGTATAATAAGTGTGCAAACAGGAACACTGTTATACCAAAAACTGTAATATTATAAATAAAATTTTAACTATTGACTATATTCTGCAGCATTTTTGTTAGTCTTGTGCAAAGGTGAAAAAAGTTAGGTTTTCTTGCCTTTACTGAATCTGTATTTGAAATAATCATGCTATACTGAATGATGTGCTTTTCTAATTAAAAATCCTTTAAAGTGGTGTCAAAATAAACAATAGTTTCAGTATTTCTTTTAAGAAATATTAATAATTCCGATACACTAATACATATTTCCCCAAAGAAAAAAAAATCTTGTTACGTTTTCTATATCGCCATTTTTAGAATGTGTTTAACATAAGTCAAATACAACTTCCATGTTCTCATCCTGATGCTTATCTTCAAGTAAAATAAAACATATCACACAAGGATTCATGGTGTTGCATTGAAAGCAGGTTAATAATATTTGCCTAGAAGAGTGTACTTTCTCTTCTAGACCAGGTCCTGAAGACATCTTCCTTTTTAGTACTGATTATGATTGAGGCCCAGAATTCCAACTTCTATGCATACTTCACAGAACATGCAATTAAACTACTGTAACTTATGAAACTATTTCCACGTTCTAAAGTAAACCTACGTGTGTCTGAATTAGATCCAAAGCTGCAGACACTCTGAGATCATAGAAGTTTTTGTATACATGAATATGTCTCACATATCTTCTAACAGAAAAGCTGCTTTGGAAAGCTTGAGATTAAAGACACATTAGATAAACAACAGTAAGCGAAAAGGAAACACTGATTTTGATAAATACTGTTCTTAGCATTAGATGTGCTACAGAGGACCAACAGAAGAGCTGCGTTTCTGAAAATCAGCTCAGCTCCTCCTCCTAAGCTGCAAAGCTACTGACAGTCCTCCCATAAAATGACTAGCCAAGAAACACATCCCTTGTACAGGTGACGGCTTGTTACTCTACAGAACTTCATAACTGCTAAACCGACCGAGCCTCTGGAACAAGCACACGTATAAAATAAGGTCAGGGATCTAGAAGAGAATAAATTCAGCAATGACACCTCAGTCAGCTGCAGAAACTACACTGTAACACTGATTTATGGGCGAATGAGGTGGAAGATGGTATATTCTGGTTTTGCAACTCTGAGTCAATACTGGCACAACCAGAAGAAATTATAAAAAAAAAATATCTGAGGCTGCACTGGAAGGAAGCGTGGACAGACAAAATTTATTCACTAACCATAGCCTACAGCAAGTCTCTAGTATTGTATATCCATTCTCAGTATATGAAGCACCAGAGCATTCTGTAAAAATAAGCTACATTCCCTAGAAATCATGCGGTTTACTCATGTTTATTTAAGACTACGGAATAGAGTCAAGAATGATTATTTTTTCCAATGTACTTTTTATATCTACATACTTATGGATATTACTGCATATACACAAATGCAAATATACCTCTTAAAATCAGAGGTTACAAGAACCTGAAAACTGAACAGAAATATGAAATTCAGGTATAAAGTACTGCTGCTTATTTTGAACTTAAAGTTATTTAAAACTTGTCAATTCTGTGAAATAAATAAACAGTTTTATTCCATGTCATTTCAGTGCACAGCTCTCTTCTTGAAATTGTGAATCAATTAGTACTCCAGCACTGGAGTGAGATAATGCACCATTTTTTTGTTAACACTTCAACAACAAAAAAGATAAAAAGCAATCCCAATTTTGTAACCAAATGTGGCACAGGTTCAGCATAATTCTTTTACCAATTAATGAGCTCATCAACATTAATGAAAACTAGTGGAATTTTTAATTTTGGTAATTATGTCTTGTCTACTCAAATGGCCATTGTACTTTTAATTTCACTTACAGAAACAGGCTTTGACCCTTCAAAGGAAGTCACAGGGTGATATTATCATTAGAGACTGCCCTGGCATACAATTTATATTTCGTTTTAAAACAGAAGTCTATTCTCTTAACAGGTAATACTTGAGCTCTTTACTTACGCAAACCTAAATCTAACTTTAGTTAAATGAACTCTAATATGCAGCTCTATTGTTTATATGTTTAATCCAACATATGCATAAGAAACTCAACAACAAAAAAATAACTGAACACGAACTGTCTCTTATTAGACACAGTAAAAATTCAATAGCCTAGAGAAAAGAATTTCATGATGATTTGACATTTACACTGCAGCAGTACCTTCACACCTTCAACAACAGATAAAGATGTAACACTCTTCAGTTGAATGAGCAAAGTGTACCAACTCCAGAGACCCATGAGGGAATACAAACTCCCCCTAAAGTACTCAGCCTACTCGGTCCAGTGGAACTTGACTACTTTGCAAAAAGTAAAGCAACACCATATATGCCTTAAGAATAACTATTACTGATAGAAAAGAACTACTCTTAACTTTAGCAGGCAATCTAGAATAGTTCAAGCTCAGAGGTAAGGAAGCGAGGCCTGAAAAATATAACTTTAAATGACTCAATGAACAAAGGCATTTCAAAAGAGGCAGAAAAAAGAGTTCAGTACATTCACCTTCAACAGATTTGTCCATAGTACTTACTAACTTAAGTTTGCAATAAGGTATTTGGCAGGATAAAGCAGTACAACTGTTAATGAATCCACAAGGGCAGGGCATGACAGTACTTGGAAAACTACAAAAGTTGCACTAAAAGCAAGTATTGAACTCTTACAAATTGGAACATGCTGGTCAGTAAACACAATCCTTTCAGTAAAGCCCACCCATAGAAATGCATCATCTCTTCTCAGCAGCAAAACCCAAAACCCAAGGAAGACTGAGCTAATCTAACACCAGCTCTGCTGCGCACATGACAGGGAGTCCTTGTCCACCAAAGAAGGAAGGCTGGATAAGAGAGCTAAGAGGGGAGCAAGCAAGAAGACCCCAGCTAAAATCACAGTATCACCTGCTTCCTATGAGCCTGGGAATTAAAAAAAAGAGAATTCAAACAGAATTATGCAACTTGCTATGAGGTCTATCCTCCAAGGAAAAGATGGTACCAAATATCTCTCACTCTTCATCTTTAAACAAGATTCAGTCATCTCAGGGTATTCTAGATACTAGTTTAGGGAGAAATCAGTACAACTATATTTTAAACAAGAACAGTCTACCTAATATTGTGGTATCACTGATAAATCCCAGCTTCACTGGGCTTTTTACTGTCCAAGCCCATAACAAAACAGACAGACCCTGTTCCTAAAAGTCACCTGTTTTTCATTCTGTTTTATGACTCCCTTCCACTATCTTCCCACTATAAACCTTATTAGCTACAAAGACTACTATTAGCACTGCTTTCTTCTCTCCCACTTGTAAATACTAGTTTGTATTAGTCTTCACAAACCTAGATCCATCAGTCAAGTAACTCTTTACTTTCACCAGCAAAATCTAGACCTTCAAGATAGCCATGTACTCCAGCTAGTGCAAATTTTGTTACGCATTTTGTCCAAGAAGAAAGAGGTCCTAGAGCAGTAATTCTTTCAAATGAAATGTGCTGTATACAAGACCACAAAAACAGGTTTTACATGACAGCTTTTCCTGTGAAATGTGCATAAATGTGCGGTAATGAGAACATGTTAGTTGTTCCATCATGCAGAAGTTAAGAATGACATCAGTTTTACAAATGTAAACATGGACTAAATCCTTGGGAATAAACACAAGTGCAAAAAAAAAAATCTCACCATGTTACAAATAAAAACTTTTTTCACTTATAAAATGACAGACAATAAAAATCACAGTAATGCCAGAAGAAGATACAAAACAAACACGGGAACAAAATGATCAAGAAACAGGGTGAGGATTATAGCAGCTATCGTTACTTGTGACTAGAGCTATGATCTATCTTGCATAATAAGAAGTCTTTCACAGACAGAAAAACCTTCCTTCTCTACAAGAAAAAAGCAATTACGGAAATTAATGAAAGCAGACAGTTCACACTTTTCAAGGACTTCACACAATCACCTTGCTCTGATGCAGATGAAGCTGCAGATTGTGTCAGAGCAATCTGGTCTGCAATAATCTGATTCAAGGTGAGATTTCTAAAAGATTAAGTTGTATGTGAGCACTCCTTATGTGGTCAATATTCCTGTCATCTAGAACAATCTAGATAACGTAGTCCATGTGTGCTTTGGGCAAATCAAATAGGGATAGCAAAACATATTTAAAGCAACTAAAAACCTAGATAAAATTCTAATTGCAACATAGGCCAATTTCATATTCTGATACGGGAACTGTTTAAGAATTTCGCCAAAACAACTTTGCAAGCAAAATATATCTCATACCTGTAGCTAACTGAACATGTGTAAACGAAATATAAAATTCTCATCAATACCAAAATATTTACTAGCTTGTATCCCCACAGAAAATCCACAACTTCCTATCTCTCTCCCACTATTACTACAAACATTAAGAGCAAAACCTAAAAACTAGTATAAGAATATCCCTCACATAAGGGTAACCTTTAACTGGTCCCACCAGCACCCGTTCAAGTCTGAGAAAGTTACCAAGCTCCTCATAATTGCTGTTTTCTACAAGCACTGTGCTGGGCACACCTTGTTCCTGCTGGGGTGCCAGAGCCTGGGAACACTCTGTTAGCACTCTGTGTGCAGTGTTCTAATTTCTGAGTCCAGCGTGTTACAGGAGGAATATGGTTACCTGCTTCTTCCACACAGAAGTACCTTTTGACAGCAGAAAATACACTGGTCTGAAAATTGGAATACCATGTATGTAAGTGTTACTGCTAATGCTGTTCCCATTCCCACTCCCCCTGAGCAGGCCATCAGTACTACTGGAGAAGAGACTGGTATTCAAGACAGAGAAGCCTGAAACTAGATCAGGTCTAACAGGAAAGACTCAGATCTGTTCTACTACATAGCATTCATTTTCAAGGTTTTTAAAAAAATATAAAAAAATGTCACTTGCACATTTTACACATTCACAGAATACCAGGTTGGCAGGGACCTCAAAGATCATCTGTTCCAACTTTTTCTTCAACAGCACATTTGAAATGTTTAAACTATAAACGCACTAAGTTAATTTTTCAGTCTTAGAAGCATT